TTCCAAGTGACATGCATTTTACCTCCAACTCGCTCGGAAGGTCGTCGTACAAAAGGCAGATCGTTGAGAAGGATTCGTACCCAAAGCTGAATGTCCCCCCCAACCCCCCCACTGTTCGTAATCGACAAAGGTCCCTCACTGACGAAGGTCATCAGGACGGGTCAAGATTCTTAAGGATGGAAGAGATCAAGGATGTACGTACACGCAGGAACATCGGGCAAGGATTCCAAGGCTCCTGTTTCGTTGAAATCAAATCGTCGTCGTTTCAACGAGCCACGATCCTCGAAGGAATCGCGAGAGTGTACGAAAGGTAACCAGCTCTAAACCACTGTCTCGTTGGAGAATAAAGGTCGTCGCTTCAACGGGTCAGGGCTCTGGAGTGGAATCGAAGAACGTCGAAATCGAATCGGTCAGCTTAACGATCTGAGCGTCGACCGGGTGTCAGATTCTATCGTACCAAAATCATTGCGTCGTCGCCGTGGTCGGATCCGCGATGGATCTATACGTATCAAGTGATAATAATTAAACCAAGCCGAGAAAATAACTACGGTAAAAGATGGATCTCATAGAGATTCGACCTAACTATTCTATTCGCAAGACTCCGTGAACGAAAGCCGTGGATTCCGGAGCCGAAGCCGAAGCCGTGATCGGCGCTAGAACGCGCCTTGTAAATACAATTAACACACGCTTTCCACAGCGTCCGCTGCGTCGTTCGATCGTACGAGGAGGAACTGACGCGTGCATGAAAATTGAAGAAAACCAATCTGGCTAATGGAACATCCAAAGGAGCATCGAAACAAGCAGTATCAAAGTGGACCGGGTACCATTGACGAGGAACGGAGCGGGCGCTGACGCGTACCACATACGTACACAACACGAATACACTCTATTTTTTTATATGTTTTAAACGCTACTCCTTAACCACGCATACTTCTTTTTTTTATACTTGTATAAAGGCTTTTTTGTAGTAAAAAATAAAAAAAAACGTCGCCACCGTTGAAACGCCAAGAATCATCTTTCTCGTGCCACAACAGTCGAGATGCAAAGCATTCTCTTCCTCATCCATAATTTCTCTTCTCTTCATCGATCTTTCACCTATCCGAATGTATCCGTGATTGACCCGAGGTCCCAACCCTCAGGTGCTGTCTAATACTCTCGTATTCTTTCTTTTTTTTTTTTCTACTTCCTCCTTCGAAGACGAAGATCAAATCTTTTTCTCTTTTAGCGACGAACACTCGCCTTTCTCCTTTCACTGCACGCGGATCCCCCAGGGCTACGAGCTTCCCCAGCTGGACATGACGTAAATTCTCACGAGCAACAGATGCTCCCAGAGCGGACCGAAGCAGCCTGACGGCCACCGGTCAGAGATTCGAAAGTGGTTTTCAGTTCTCCTCGGACACGTTTCTTTTCTGATCGCATGAAAACGGTGGGTCGAGGAATTTTGTATCGTGTGATGAAAATACGGGTTGCTTGGTAAGGAAGAATCGTCCCAGTGGGCGGAAACTCGCCGGAAAGTTTCGATCGTAAATTCTAACTCTACTAATGGAAACGTTTAGTCGTTGGGTAACGAGCCGCGATAGGAGGCGTTAAATGCGTTTATGTACGCGTAGATTTCGTTGTTTATGCAATCCGTCTGGCGCAGACGTAAAACGATGCAATTTTTCTTGAACACCAGCGATACCAGAGTTTCCTTTATTAGCCAGATATTTAATGGTATCGTTTCGTAACGTTTATGTGTAATAAACGATATCGTTTGAAAATGAATAGAAGTCAGTTCGTTTAGAAAGTATTTGAAGGGAGAAGAATCGAGGTGGTTTCGATTAAGGGCCGCCACCGTTTCCAGCGGGTAATTAAAAATTGAGTAATGAGTTTCTGAATTAAGTAATCAGCAAACACAATGCGAGGTTGGCGCAATTAAGACACACCGCGATGGTGAATAAATCGCGGCCACGCTAGACCTAAATTAAATCATTACACTGCGTGTTTCTCCGCGTTTTATAAGTTCGTCGCGTTTAATCGGCCTGCCATTACACAATTTAACTCGTAACACGCGAGGCAAATGTAGGTTTAGTTGATTGCAATGGAAACGAGTGTAAACTTCGCAATTAACAATTCAACGGAATGAAATTTCATCGAGAATAGTATCGTGGACGATGCGTGAAAACGATCATGGAACATCTCGAGGATGTTCCGTGCCATGTGTCGCGGATGGAACATTAACAAACGACGTCCCCGTTCTGCGCCAGTGAACCACCATCTTTCACGTTCCTCCGTTTCCGCGTTTCCTGACGTCTACAAGATTTTCAAACCGCAACAAAACGATTCGTTTCGCGACGAAGGAAATGAAATAGAAAATTCGCGAGTCGCATAACATGGGACGGGGAAATAGATGTCGTAGATAGAATTCATTGTCGCTCTGCATCCGAGTAGAATAATTGAAATCGAGAAAGCGTTGTTTCTTCGAGCAGCCGAGAAAATCGGAATATCAACGATTCGGCCATTCTAAAAGACTTACGTATGTACGACGTCCAGCAGGGAAAGTGCGCGACTCTTCGCCAACAGGGATGGCGGGGTCGAGAAAGGGGAAAGGAGAGAAGACGAGGAACTGTGAGACTCAGCGTGGAATTTTGTAAGAGCCGTACATAATCCATAAACCTGCCTGCCAGGCCAGAAGCCGTGCGAAAGAGGGAAAACGTACCACGCACATGGGATCCGTGCTCCAGTTTCAAGGAACACGAAATCCTGTTCAACGGGATACCGTTCAACTCATTTTTTATTATTTAGGGTGTCGAATAGAAAACCCATAGCTGTTCCCAACTTTCGATAAACGAAATTTCAAGTTGGATTTAAATAAAAATCTGATACTTGAACATAGTCAACAGGTGGAAAATTCGCTATCTTCGAAACGTGTTTGCAGAGACAAAAGTAGGTAAATATTGATACTATTCCTCGCAATCAACGAGTGGAAATTTCTCAACGATGACAGTGAATCTTTCGAACAACTCGATAATTTAATATAAAAAAAGAATTGACCGAGTCATGCTGAAAGTTGGTCCGCGAAGGGTCGGTGCAAGGCGATTGATCTCCCTTTCCAAAATTTACAACCGACTTTTTCTTCGAACGAGACGCAATCGAGGGACCAATCAGCGGCGGAGAAGTCGCGCAACGTGTGAAAGGAGAGAAAAACGCGGGCACGGTGACGCACAGTGTGTGATCTCCTCTGCCAATTATGGGAAGAGAGGATTTGTCGAGCAACTGGCTCGTAAAACCAGCTCCTTCACAATGGTCCTGCTTCGTTGTTTTACTTTCGCTGATCCCCTAGCGTCTTTTTCCACCGCTTTACACGAGCGTTTTTGACGGGAACGAAGCGCGTTCTTGCCACATGGACGGACGTGTTTTCAACGAACCGCTTGGCCCGTCGCCTTCATAATTATGGGACCGTCTAACAATTACTCGGTACCAATTATATCGATGTCTTCCGCCAGAAGGTAATTACTCGACGGCGAAGATGTTGCAATCGAGCGGTATATCCTTTCACGGATTTTCGTCAGGGGGAAAGAATTTCACGGATATCTTTCTCTCGAATTACTATCTTTAACGACTTTAATGATATCTGGCACAACGTGCACGGGTCGGAAGTTATTTAACAGACACTATAGATCGCGGGGTTACGCAATCGGTTCGTAGCCGACGAAAAATCGAGACAGCGTCGGTCATTCGCGAGAAAAATAGGAAAAGAAGAGAGGACGATGGACTCTCGCTAGAATCTCTTATGTAACCTCGATGAGTATTACGCGAAAGAGTCCGGGGAATGCAGGTCGTATTTGTAATCGACGAACTGATGGCGAAAAGACAAAAAAAAGCGTGCAGTTTTAAGAGGGACCCAGAAATTGTGTAAATTGGACAGGGGGATTGCACAAGGCACCTCGAGGATGGTTGCAGTGAATGGTACCAAGCAAACAGAAGGGCGTTCTGTCTCGCAGTTGGAAAATTTCCGAGGTAATACACTTATTAGAAAAATCTGATATTTTCAATTTTTATCAACACTCGTTCAACTACACTTTTTCAAGAAAAACAGATAATATTCTTATCTAAATTTTGATTAACTTAAGTGTTTGCACAATTTGTGATAAATTAATTTAAAAACACATATGAATGATAATAAAAATTCTGAGAATATATGAGATAGGAGAAATAAAGGATTCTAGGTGAATGAAAATTGATTTATTATGGTAGAAATTTAGCGTAACACTTGTCCACTAACTGTAAGTAAATTGTTCTACCCCGAGAAAGCGAAGAAGGGGAGAAAGTTACGGGAAAATCATTGGTTAAATCGTTCGCAAACACGCAAGGACGTTAAAGTGTTTTGTCTGACTATCTACACCTTCGACATCGTCCAAGGTAATTTACAGTCCGACCACCGTTCAATTTAAATAACTTCTGGTGGAGAACGCGCGAAGTTCTGACGAAAAGAAAATCCTTTAACCGGAAGTGGACGTCCCACGTGTTTGTAGAAAGATTTCTCTATGTTCAAAGATAATTGAGAAAAAAGAATCATTCGAATAAATAAAATTTAAGTAGAAAGCTTGAAGTGGGTGGATAGTGTACTCGGTAAACGCAATTTTAATTACCGAGAAAGTATATGAAATGTAGGAAGTGATGGAAATTACGCAACTTATTTTAAATCATCGAAGATTAATATGGTATGGAAATCGATGATCGTAAGTCGCTCAATGGTGGTGAAATGAAGGAAGCAGGTGTAGCTCTTTTTTTTTAAGCAGGTGGAACAGGATCGGCGAATAAACCGAGAAAAATATTCGGAAAAAGCTAAAGGTGAGCTTTCTCTAAATGAATTTATAAATGTTTTAATATTGTTAAATCTTGTAAGTTATTTTAAAAAGATGTTCATTCATAAAAATCATTGCCAGCTTTACAAAAATATTTTTTTTTAAAAGAACTTATGCTATGATAAAGGGAACACTTTGGTTTTAATACAAAGATAAAAATAAAGGAATTTAATTGGTTCACTTATGTACATCACTGAATGTTTAAGCTTCTCACAGCACATTTGTCCTTTTTATATACACCTTAAAGAATTATCCCTTCTCACCCAAGCACCAGTTTCACAATTATTGTTACTATGTTTAAGAATATCAATGGAACTGTAACAAAGAATGTTTGTAATGATTATAATAAATAAAAAATAATAATAGTTTATTCAATTACCTCGAACCACAGTCCTTATGGATGTGACCAAATGCAATACTTTTGTTTTTACTGTAGGAGGTTCACCAAAGCCTTGGACATTCTGCCATGATGCCCAACCAACTAAGAACAATTTCAGTTATATTATACAAACATTTAGGACCACTTTACATCCTCTTTATGTTTTATTAAAATTATAGTATATAATCCATATATTAATGATTTGTGAGTCTTTATTAAAAGATAAAATACAATTATACCAGATATTAAAATTAAGTTAAAAATATTTATTAATAAAACAGTATATAACTTTATATATGCATCTTAAATAACGGATAAACAGATAACATAACCAACGAATCCTCAGTCACTTAATGTTTATCGGCATATATTCAATGTAAACTCTGAAAAAATCCTAAAGAGATGATTAATTATAAAAAGGCGTACCACCAGAAAGGAACCTCTCTTCGTTTAAGATGCAAATCGCGTTCAAACACAGCAGAGTTGCTTCAAAAAGGCTCCACAAAGTAAACGCCATGTTATCGATGGAATGATACAAACGTCATCGTCGAATGCAGCGCCACGAAGAAGAGGAATACCTCAAATATTTTGTGCAATCAGTGACTACAGATGTAGAAGAGTGGACATGCCTTTGTTTTCGAGGGGTCATGATTTCGGGGGTCCCAAACACCCCCAGATTAGATTAGGGCTGCGTATCCCCTGTGGCTCGGGGGAGTAGAATACGGCCACGGTATCCCCTGCCTGTCGTAAGAGACGACTAAAAGGGGGATGTAAAAGAGCGAGTGAGAACTAGATGTAAGAGAGTAAATGTAAGTTTGACGAACTTGTATTCACTTCATGTATTTTGGTAAATAAATCATCAAGTCCACCCTTTTCGGTTATTAATTATTTTATTCTCCTTTATGGGTTAAACACACGCATCCTAATTATTTATTGTTGTATTTCCCTTTATGGGCCTAGCCGGGACCACGCTTCCCAGTTATTGTTTATCCTATTCCTACTCTTTATGGACCAAGGCTTCCCTTGACAGCCATTTATTTTTTTCATTCTTTTCATGGACCTCGCAGGGATTACTCCCATATCCTCGCATTCTCTGTATTCTTTCCCTGCATCCCTTACATTTCAGCACTTCTTATATCCCTGCATCTCTTACATTTCAGCACTTTTTATATCCCTGCATCCCTTACATTCCAGCACTTCTTATATCCCTGCATCCCTTACATTCCAGCACTTCTTATATCCCTGCATCCCTTACATTCCAGCACTTCTTATATCCCTGCATCCCTTACATTCCAGCACTTCTTATATCCCTGCATCTCTAGTATCCCTGCAACCCTTGTAATAAATATATTATAAATACAATAATATATTATGAAAAATATATTTATGGTCACTGGTTCGAGTAAAGCTGAGTAAAGGTAAGTAAAGGTAAGTAAAGGTAAGTAAAGTCTTTTTTTCAATTCAAATTTAGTTCCTTTTTTCACCACCAGAGGGCGCTGATTCGACGTCGAAAATTTAGTTCACATTTTTGCCGCTAGAGGGCCAAAATTTTAGCACGATTTAGTTCCTTTTTTTGCCACCAGAGGGCGCTAACAAGACATCGAAAATTTAGTTCGCATTTTTGCCGCCAGAGGGCCAAAATTGGTGCGTGCTTTGGTTCCTTTTTTTGCCACCAGAGGGCGCTGACCAGACATCGAAAATTTAGTTCGCATTTTTGCCGCCAGAGGGCCAAAATTGGTGCATGGTTTAGTTCCTTTTTTTGCCACCAGAGGGCGCTAACCAGACATCGAAAATTTAGTTCGCATTTTTGCCGCCAGGGGGCCAAAATTGGTGCGTGTTTTAGTTCCTTTTTTTGCCGCCAGAGGGCGCTGACCAGACATCGAAAATTTAGTTCAAATTTTTGCCGCCAGAGGACCTTTTTTTTTAAGGACAGTTGGGATGTGAGGAATGCAGAAATGTAAGGGATGCAGCGATATGAAGAAAGCAGGGATGTAACGGATGTAGGGATATAAAGGTTGCTGGGATGTAAAGGAATCAAGGATATAAAGGATGCATACTGGAGTAATAAAATCAACACGTTCTTCTTGCTAATGAGTTTATTCAATAAGCTAAGAAGATAAATACAGCAAATTAAATGAACGTACAAAGTAAAATAAGGGTGTATGTATGTTGTACAGGTAGATCCGCATCCCTTGTCGGTCGCTGTAAGACTGAGGTTCGCTCTGGGTCGAACGGTTGATAAAGGTGCCGCGCCAGCTGGCTACGCAACAATGCTGCAAAACGAGAAATCTGGTTTATGCATTTTGCAATAATGTTTACTTACCCAGTGACTGAAATCTCGGGAAATATCACCCCCACGGTAAAACAGGCACTATTGTCATATCGACTGTCTTCCGTACATACTGATTTAACTGTGCCTTGGGGTATCTGGGACCCCAATACCATGACCCTCGAAAACAAACGCACGCCCAGTCTTCTTGGATGCGTAGTCACTACTGCGCGATTTATCGCTCCGCTGTCTATCGATCGAGATCGATTCGCCATCTACTGTAACCCGCCTGAACCAAATGACCCACGGCGCCGTTCTTGGTGGCAAATTCAAATTAAAATTCATCGTTCTTCCATTTAAACCTGCCTGACACTTCAGTAGTATGCATTACCATTTGAAATATGCAGTTTAGGCAAAATGAACAAATGAAAAGAATCTATGTTCTTATAGATTTTACCATAAATAGAATGACCTATGGCTTTAATCTATGGCTACAACCTATGGACTTACCTTGAAGCAATTCTTGAAGGAATCATTCAACTTTGCAATAGACTGTTACTATGTTAATGCAACGAATTGTTACGAACATTATTCTATTTATAATGATTGACTGACAAGGTGCACCTTCTTGGCACTAACGGCTTTGGAACGAGAACCATCTGAGCCGTTCTAACATTCTTCTAGATAATTCGATGCATTCCATTTAATTGAGTTAGACGTTAATGGTTCACGACTTACTTATAGAGGACATACGACGTCTTCGCTATAGAAGAGTTAATTTCGCGTTACCCCCGTTCGTTCATGACCTCTATCATCGTTTCATCACGTATCATTCTTGAGCATACATTTATCACGTGTAAGGAAATTCGTCTATTTTTCCCTTATCTCGTGTAGATTCAAGGATTTCGATAACGTTTGACGTAGACGAAGGAACATGGAATCTTATATGCCCTACCATTATCATTTCTATTTTAATTAACAATGGTCAATGGTTCAATGAGGAGACTTAATAAATATTAAAGACCCTGTTATGGAATAGTTTTGTCTAAGTGGAAAGTACACCTGAGTCACATGATTGACAAGTCACGTTTCCGGAAAAACGCAGCAACAAAAGTAGGGCGATTATTTGAAAACAAAACCGAACGATGACTGTGAGTTTTCTGATCGCATAATAGACCAGACACAATGTATGTAGGAAAATTGTCCCAAAGCCAATTCGTATGTCTTCAATGATGTCCTTTGAATTTGCAGGAATCCAAGGAAATAATATTTTCCTGTACAAGAACAATTTACTCAAAACCTCAGTTTCCTTAAACTATGAACTTTCATGATAAATCACAACCTGAGCATGTGATTGCTCGTTAACAATAAAACAGCGTTGTGCAATAATCGTTGCATAATTACCATGCAATTTTTTCATTGCAAAAACTGTATTATTATTTTCGACTCGTAACAGACGTCATTAAATGTTTTCTGATGATAGATACTTCGTGCAAAATTGTTTGAAGCCGAACGAATTGCGATCTTATCGCTAGTCATCTCACCGCTCGTACTATGATGTAATTTGACAGGTCAAAACTTTAATGAACTATCATTTGCCGGTTGAACTTAATAACTTCGCGACTGTACACGAGTCTGGATAGCGGTTTTATTAAATGGTATCGTTGAGAAGTGAAACAAAACGTGGACTTTGCTCGGCTACATAGGCCAAGGGAAAAAGAGGGTCGTGTTCACGGACGATCCGGCGGACGATAGTTATCGATGCAAACATCTTTTCGCCGCTCGTGTAATTATAACAAAATAGACAAAGCTTGCAATCATTCGACTTCCTCGTAAACAATCGTCATCTGTTTGCGCGGTTCTCCGTTCGAATCTACCGCCGCGTATCACTCGATTACCTTTTTTTTTGCGCACAATAGAACGTCTTGAAACAGCAATAAATGCTTCAGCTGTATAATTAAAAATTACGTGACAAGATATAACTGTAATTTACGAGATACATAGTATCGTTGAATTGGACTAGGCTAAGGGAATGATCTAACAGTAGTTCGTCTAATCTAAATGAAGAATCGTAATTGGGGTCGTAATTGATAGGACAGCTTTCTTAATTATTCGAAGAACGAATGTGTCTTTCTAATAGTAATTAATTCAAAATTCAAAATAGAATATGTAAATAAACGTACCTAGCTATTTGAAAATCGGTATGGGAATGGTTTAGATTGGGGACAGTGATATTTTACGAGGAAAAAAGGTGGGGGTGCCCCTGTTGATCCCAATATTTTCTGGAAAATGTTTCTACTACAAGTGAACTAAAATATTCTATGAAAAAATTCATTTTAATCGTAGATCTATTTTGGCCCAATAAATATCAACATATTGTCAGCAAACGTGAATACGTGTTCCTAAGGCGATTACTGTACACAAGTAGAGGGGTAAGCGTATCTTCGATTGGTCGGTTCCAACAGAGGGCGCCTAACCAGGTCCGGGTCGATGTTGCTAAAAGCTGCAGCGGATGAAGAAACATCAGTCGCTGGAACCTCCTCGAATAGCATACAGACGTTTCCACGTTAGAGAAACATCTGAATTCCATTAAACTTGAAACAGTCTTGTGCATCAATTTCCGTGATACAACCTACAGATTCATCCTGTACACCCGTGAAAAGAAACTCGGTACCCTGAAGAGAAACTCGATAATCGTATTCAGCCAACGAAGATCCATTTTGTTAAAGCGGTTCTGTAAAAAAAAGGAGGCTTTAGCCAGCGATTCACCAGAGTGTACCAAGTGCAAACCACGTTGTTGATCTGAAACAGAGAGAAAAGCATAAAGCAAGAGAAAGATCTAAACGTGTTAATAATTAAAAGCAGCGTGGAAGAGGAGACGAAAAGGGAAGACCGGCGTGTAAAGAGGACGGTGGGGCAGCACCGTGACTATGTAAACTACCAGCAAATACTTTGTGTGAGCGCGTGCGCATAACGGAGCAACCCGTAGTGACAGCGTTAGAATAGAGACCGAGAATAGACAACGTGGACGACGATTGATAGGCTTAGTAAATCGTGGGAAGTTAAGGGTATTCTCGAATACCAGAGGAAACTGTAGAACTGGGCTTTCCTTCGAACAAAGACAAAGAAGCTCGCAAACTGGCTCCAGAGGTGAGGATCAAGCAAATTGGAATGAGGGAGGACCTGTTGTCCATAATACGGCACACAAGCAGCGATCATTTTTCGGAAGAACTTTAGCCGAAGAGTCAACGACAGAAGGGACAAGGAGGAGAACTAGCATTAGACCGCTAACTGTTTACGAGTATACCGATTCCGTATAAAATAGAGGGCTCTTGCTAGCTGGGATATTCAAGCAGAAAACGTTGCCAGGCTCCCTTTCATCCTTCCTGTCATTGATTCCATTCTTACCTGTTGGTCGCCCCGTTTTCCCCCCGGAGGAAGAAGCAAAAAAGAAATCCTCCAAAACAGATCTGCTTAGCTGGTTATGCCCTGGGCTGCCGCTTGCCTTGACCTGCTGGCGGCTCCGATTTTTGGTCATTGTCCCTCCGTGAGGAACCCTGCATTGCAAGTCGGCATCCTCCAAGAGGGAAGCGACAAACCTATCATAACACTGGCAGCTAACGCCGATAAGTTCAGCCTGAGGAACTCCTTGAGTGCCGACACCATGGCTCCGAGTGCTGAGGAACAGCGCCAAGGTAAAAAACCATGCAACTTTTTCTTTCAGCTGATTTATCAAAAATTACAGTATTTATTACTAAGGATTATTTGAAAAATGAAAGCGCCAAGTATACCGCGAACGTTATGCAACGCAAAGCACTCGTCGATGTATACACACGTTGCATATAAATGCAGTAAACAACGTGCGTTCGAGATACATAAACAGGAAACTCGACGTCGTTGTATCGTATCTGTTCCCGAAGTTGTAGGCGTTTCTGAACTGCATGGAAGGACGTTCGTTGCAAATTCAGTCGAATACTGGGTCATGGTTCCGCGAACTAGGACCAGACGATTAAATTGTCGTAACAGTTGCTATAAATACCACCGGATGTAAATAGATATTCGTGTCACCGGCGATCACAATAATTCGGAAATTCGCGCGATAAAACGTACGGAACGTTCGCGTTTGTATTTTAAGCTTACGGCGCATTTCTAGAAACAGATAAGCGTGTTGTTCCAATTGGGATAGAAAAAGAAACGAATCGAAGTCGTAGAAAGATTGGCTGAGAAAAATGTGCACACTCTCCGTACACTTGTCACGCTTTTATCGTTTTAAAGATACATTTATCAGGAGGTAACTTAATGAGCTTGAATAACCAACGTCTTGTCAAACAGTAGCATGCATTGATAAAACGGTATCGCGACTTCTTTAACTATGTTACTTATCAGTCTCTTGTCACAGGAAGACGCACGTACCCTCCGTTTGTCTTCAATGATAAGTTTCTCTATTAATGAAAAACATGATTGACGCGAGTAAAAAAAATGAGAGCAGATTACGATATTCAACAAGGTTGCAATCAATGAAAGACGTCAATTGTTTTTATTTTGAAAATGTTATCTCTTCTATCTTTCAACTTTTGAAAAATTTGCAACGTATCCATCTATTCTTTTATGTTCGAAAGCTTTCAGAAGCCATTTTAAAGATTTATTATTATTAAAACATACAAACTTTCCAAATCTTATAAGCATTGAAATCCTTCCATTGAATTACGGAATATTAATCGCGCTTAAGCAGCTCGGAAACGAATGTCAAAGCGGATATTACGATAAAAATTTATCGATAAATCATAGGATTAGTAAGGTTGGATTACGACGTCCTTGATACGCCGATTCCATAATCAGATTATTCAAGAACAGATTAAGTACGAGATGATAACGATTAGAGAAATATAAATGATCGATCAACAAACAGAATCGCGCTATTAGACAAGATATAAATGATACGAAAATATCGAGGTTCGAGTGACAACACGTGTGTAGGATTCACGAGCGGGCAATTAACGATTGCGTCAGGTAGACACTGTTGGATATACATATTCTACAAGGTGTGATCGATTTTGTAATCTAATCAGCCTCGAAACGTGAAATCACTCGAGATAACGATGTCTCTCGATGTCTTCGGAGTAACGTGGAACGCATGTAGGAATTCGTTGACCGCCTCGATGTTTACCTCGACGATAAAACGTGAAAGGAGTGAATACAAACGGGAGAAACAGGCATTGCGGGAAAGAAAAATAATCCCGCCAAGGATACCCCATACGGGATATTGTTAGAGTCACGCTTGTGAAACGCGTAACTGCAGACTGCAGTATGCGCTGCACACATGCTAATTAGATGAAAAACACCTTTGTGCATTTGTCGCTATAGTTAGAGTTCGCTATAGTCGTTGCACGTGCGTTGGCTTTCACCGCATGACTGTTATTTATAAATACCACGGCTAAATATTAGGTTGATCCATAAATACTTATCGCTTTCTTTTAAAATACCATTTTCAAGAATTGCATTATCGATCGTCTAATAATATATGCTGTCGTCTGTAAATGTTGTCTCAACATATTTTTATGTAACAACAGGAACGTTTTCTTATCTATCTGGTTATGGTTGTTCCAGTTCCCTTATCAGTCGTTTATCTAAGTGAACTATTTGAGCTCTGGGCGTATCACTTATTATCGGGGTTAAATTGCTTAAAATTGTAGAATCATTTTTATACCGGGTATTCCTCGTGGATAAATCGTGAAAATTCCTTTTCTTTTCTTATTCGAATACACGTAGAAATTGCATCGTTCGTTCTGATGCGAAGGTCCTCGGACAGGGATGTTCATCGATTTTTCACCACTGACCTTGTTTTCGTCCATAGTATAAAAGCGTGAGAAGTATGCTAGAGGGGTTGCACCGTTGCAAGTGCAATCATTAATTCTCTATTGTACTACGAAGGACGAAAATTGATTTTAGTTCGTTTAAACGTTCTTTGTTTAATGTTCTTAAAATATAGGAAGTAGTAAAAGAGAAGGCCGCTATTTATAAATAGTCGCCTTGATATTATTGAAAATATATGCAATAAATTTTAAGTAGGACTTTGACCAGTAATTTTGCCTCGCATGTTTATGTAGAGTCAATAATTAATTTAACATCAAATAGTATAAATTAAAAAGGTGGGCTTATTTACAAACGCTTGGAGTAACTAAAATATACATAATTTTTTTAAAAACCAAGTATCCTATCATTAATTATACTAATGATCCTATCCAAATAATGATGCAATTAACCCTTTCACTGCTTATGGAAAGCCACAAGTCTTTAAACTAAACACGTCCTGATATAATTATTTTCAAATTTATATAATACTCTATTATCTTATCGTTCTTAAACGTTGCAAAACAGACTTGGCAAAATGCTGCTTAAAACGAAAATGAAAATTCGTTTCTGCACCTATGTTAATCATTTTCGCGATTTTACTGTGACCTGTAGTCGGGAACTTTGATCACTTAACGTGACAGTAATGTAATTCAGCTTATCATTTTTTTTTTGTGCCTAATATTATTCTGCGAATGTTGATACAAGTATCGTGACAGCTGTACACGCGTACACGCACATACGCAAGACCATGACGATTCAATGTCTGAATAATGAATCGGGTGACGACACGTCTCAGGTCAACGGACGGGTTATTAAGCTAAATTTAACATTGTTTTATGGGAGAATTCTGATTACGTAGCATGCTCGATCGTCGATATCGGAGAAGATTCTGATCGAACGTTGAATCAGCATCGATTACCAAGCAGGAAACTTCCGTTCACCTGTGTTTTGCTTTGCAAAGCATACCGGTCGCAACAATGGAGTCGTATCGAAATCGTGAATGCAAACGAAAACTTGAATCGAAGCTCTTTGATCCCAAGATCATGAGGTCTAATTCGTAATTAATTTTGTTGACGTACTAACTCGCTGCCAACTAAGATACGTGACCGAACAAGACGGCAGATAATCGCGAATGACGAAATTGTTGACTGCTCGAGGAAGAATCCTCCGATTATTCGTTAATTTGATCAAGTGTAGTTGACCTTTATCGTATAGCTGTGTCTGAGGATCTTTCGGGTAAAAATACTGCCCGATAACGCTCGTTGAACTGTGTTATCGGAAGAATTTTTATAACGAGATAATTCGTTGTCAGCTTTATGTTCTCCATCTGTTTCCTCTTATCTTGTAAATAACCGGCCAAATTTAGCGTCGTAAAAACCCCCCTGATTTTTCTCTTTTGCACTGTGTATATTTGGAACGAAACCAGTGTATTTTCGATTCCTTTCCACGAGTCGACGATTCAATCTCGTCGCTCGAAATCGCGCGTTCGTTTCTACGGATGCGCTCGAGCTGAGAATCAGGAATTGTTTGTCAGGTTTACTACCTCGAACTGGCTATCGCGAAATCGTGAGCCAAAAGCACTCGTGCAAGAGGCGAATTCTAAATATAAAGTTCACCGATGTGGTGGTTCGCAATGTGGTGGTAGCCAACGAAGGCCTCAGTGTTCGTTAGATATTCGAGCAGTTAATTAGTGCGAACAACTAGCGAGTTAGCCTCGCTGCTGGTAACATTGATACACGTTCAACGCTATCGATCCAACATTGATTGGAAACTCGAGGGTCGAACAACGTAGCGATATACAGTAGGAAAGATGTGTGTGATCGGTAAGAATAGTACTCGTATGTTCTGCACATCGATCCACTCTTGAACAAAGAGATTTCAATTCCAGCACGCGAGCAGAATTATAACTATTTCGTTCTTGTATGCACGCGATTTTACGTACTGCGAAATAACCCTTTCACGAACGGGAAAATGTAATTAGAATTCGAGTTATTAAAGCGAATTGGAACAATTGTTTCTAAGGAATGATTCACCGGCTTTCTTCCTGTTTTGCACGATTTGTAATTGAAATCTCTGTTTCCATATCGAATTACGTGCGCATTCACGTTACTTATGATCGAGCGTTAAAATGTTAACTGGGGCACCGTTTGATCGGCCAGCTGCCAAAACTATTTCATCCAACTTCTAAAGTAGACTCGTTATATAGAGGGTAGATCAGGTTGTTCCTGACAAAACTGCAGAATATATTTTGCAGATAAAAATAAGAAACATGCAAAATCTGATACTTACTAAAATTAAGCCTTTGTTATTTTTTATAATGAATCTTTATATTCTCTGGAAAGACCCAGATACCTTATATGTAACGAGAAAATTAATTAAACAAAGAAATCGTTTAATCAACCGGGCTATAAATGGAAATTTTTCGTTTTAACAAAGATCTCTGTGTTTAGAGACTGTCACCGTTTATGCAACAACTGATTCATTATTGTTTCTATCTCTTTCAGAACCCGGTAAGGAGAAGATCGCGGTGAGGGCACCGGGGATAATTAAATCACCACGGAAATTCGCCGGGGTGGTGATCGCAATGTGCGGTTTACCAGGTCGTGGAAAAAGCCAGGTGGCACAGTGCCTGTCGCGCAGGCTCAACTGGAATGGCGATTCCGCCAAAGGTGGGAAATCATTCTCTATTTGTCATTATCGTGACACCTTGAGAAAGAAACCTGTAAATAAAGCTGAAAGAAAAACAGCGATTTTTGCGATTTAATTATATATAACAGCTGATCAATGTTCATAAGTTTTCCACTTTTTTGTTGTACATATCATAAGATCATTTTTATTCGATTGACACTTTATGTATGTTACGTAGATCGTAACTTATGATTTATGAATTACCTTGAACGGTTTGATCGTTTCCTGATGCACATCTTGTAAACAGATCTGCAGATCTTGTGGATTTACTCTGTCAGCGGTTTTCCCCAGTATGCAACTATTCTATTTATTTTTCATAGTTAGATACTTTCTATTCAATGTCCCACTCGGTGCTATCGCAGCTTTTGAAATGAATTTATCACTTTTTATGCTGGCTCAGAAATTAGACTCCAGAATTTTTATTTTAATCATTTAAATTTGAATATCGTTGCAGTAATGAGAGTGAGCGAGTATAGAAGAAAAAGACTGGAACCATATGGAGAAGCAGTGTCCCACGAGCTATTTCGTCCAGACCATACGGCGAACGCAGCACTGAGGGCCTTGGCCCAACGGGACGCCATGCACGATTGCGCTGCATGGCTTGCAGCTGGAAAATCCGTAGCTGTAAGCATCAGTAAACGCATTTCGAAACACGAGCAATAATCGTGAACACCATTTTGAAAACGAAATCGGAGAGGACGAACGCGAACGTGTGTTGACTTTGGTTGTCTTCCAAAACAGCTGCTCATGAGCGATCCAAATTATCAATCATCATTCAAAATCGAAAAATATCTAACTCTTCACAATTATAGCATTGTCATCGTTGTATTGTTTATTACTGATTTCATTGAAATATTGATTCATACCGAGGCGACGTAAACAATGCAATACTCCGGTGTCGAATTGTAGATTATAAAATTGATCCTAATCAATAATCATGATTCCAAACAACCTTGATCTCATATTTTGGTTTTGAAAATATGGATAAGTAAGAGTTTCTCAGGATTGCTTGCGTCTTGGAAGACAATTTCTCACGGTTGGAAAATAGTGGACGCAGAGTGTGAACAGTTTATGCAACGATATTTTTTCCCTCGCGTTGGCGAGTAAACGCAGGATCGGTAATGGCGGGGTGACGATTAAACAGGCCGGTCGAGCCGGTCTTGGCTCGTAAAACTACCTTTCTCTGCGCTCGATACCTGTCGTACGAGTTTTGCTATTTTTTCCGTCACCTTGCGGTACGACTTTTGACGACCTCAAAGGGCTATGGGGTGTCGCGGATACTTTAAACTCGCCTCGTTTATTGCGAAGTCGGTCGCAACTTGATATCTGAACTCGGAGATATACAGAGTGTCCAATGTTTAGCAGGACTGCATGTTCAGCAGATCGAATATTTCAGTTTACTTTTAATTTTATATCAAAATGGATAATGTTCAAATTGTCGAACTTTGCTTCGATAACATAATGTCAGTCGTTTACATAATGAATTTTATCGTCGTATTTTAAATATTTTAACGATACTAATACGACACCCATTACGAATTGTTCATATTATCTCGTTGCGTAACAAAATAACTGATAGAAAGTCTAACGCGTTTTCATGACATAAAAGTATCGCTAAATAGCACTTATGTCATATCAATTTAAAGCTTAAAGTTTAATAAAAATGACCACGCAAACCCTTTCTTAGTGTTCTTAATATAAAATGGCCGATTGCCAGTTACACCAAACACTGATCGATTTCGAAACATATAAGCTCTTGTACGAATTGATGACATAAATGCACCTCGAAATAGCACTTATGTCATATCAATTTGAGGCACAAAGTTTGATGGAAACGACAGTATAGACGTTTCATCAATATTCTTAATACAGAAATGAAAGAGACTTATAGTGTACCTGACATATATTCCTTGGAATGACCTGCTGAACACGTGGACGACTCTGTATAGAAGCACGAACACTTGTGAATTAATATAGGTAATCGATCGAGTATTGGCAAGAAATTAAATTCGTAATAGAGAAGAGGAACACTGATGAACCGCAGTTAGTTTCATTTCTTTTGTCCTGTTTGAAGATCCTGGACGCCACGCTGGTGACCCGAGCACAGCGAGCCGAGGTATTCGACTACTTTTCCGGTCAGCTCGGTTACCGTGTCCTTTTCGTCGAGTGCGTCTGCGACGATCCGGTCGTGCTGGAACGAAATTACAAGGAGATATTGCGGCACAGCACCGATTACATTGGTATGGACCCGGTACGAGCACAAGAGGATCTCAGGCTGAAGGTAGCTCATTACGTCCGACAGTACGAACCGATGGACGAGAAGAATTACCCGAGGATCCGTATCGACACCGCTACCATGGACATCGAGACGCACATGGTTTCGGGTCACATCGAGACCAGCTTGTTGGGATACCTTGGAAGCGTCACCCTCGTGCCGCATACTCTTTACTTCTCTCGGGTTAGTATAATGATCGATCGATGTCCCTAAGCTCTTAAGGCTTCTTATTCATAACTGTCAATCGAAAGATTTAACACTCTGACGCTTTGAGCCTGGCGCATTTATCATCCTTGCAACTTGATCATAAATTTTACATGATTATAATTTCTAGTAACAATGTCGCAATTATTCCTTAAGTGTTTATGACAATAAATACCGATAAAGTTCCCTGAATCTTCATTGAAGTGTTTCCTGATACAGCCAGGTTTTGAATTTGCTACGCAGAATTATGATCTTAAAATTTTATAAATAATCCTATCTTATCAGTCTCGTCTTCGCAGCGATAGATCTTCAATGATTATCACTTAAAATTACAAGCGCCTTATCAACCGTATCTCAATTGTTGACTCGTTTAATTACGTTCCAGAGTATTATGTTCCGTCCGGTAAAGATAGTCTGTTTCCTCGATTTCAGCACGGTGAAAGCGAGTTCAACGTGTTAGGTAAAGTCGGCGGGGACGCCGTGTTGAGCCCGCGTGGCGAGAGATACGCTCAAGCATTGGCGACAAAATTTAACGCGATGCGTATTCCGGATCTTCGAGTATTGACCAGTCGCCTTCGAAGGACAATAGCGACAGCTCGAGGAGTGGAGGCGCCGCAGGAACACGTGGCGGCTTTGAACGAGCTCCATGCCGGAGTTTGCGAGGGTCTTTCGTACGAGGAGATGCAGGAACACTATCCACAGGTAATACAAAGATCCACAGAAAAAAAAAAAATTAAATTTTTCAACAAGGAACCTCAAACCAAAAATCTTTGCTCCAGGAATTTGCATGGCGCGATCAGGATAAGTTGCGTTATCGTTATCCTTGGGGAGAGAGCTACGTGGACGCAATGCATCGCGTCGAACCAGTGATAGCCGAGCTACAACGATCCCATAATGTCCTGGTGGTGTCCCACCAAGCTGTGCTGCGTTGTATCATCGGTTTCTTCCTGGATAAGAAACCGGAGGAGCTGCCTTATATGGAGGTACCTTTGCACACTATCATCCGAGTGAGCAGTCATGGTTACAACTACAAGCTCGAGTTCTTCAAGTTACCCATCGAGTGCGTGAACACGACTCGGGTGAAGCCGAAGAACTGCAGCGCCGATAGAACCGCGGACGACGCTTTGATCACCGTTCCCGCGCATTTCGACCTACCGGATCCATGGAGAAATCCTGGCAACGGGCCTACCCTGGTGCAACAGCACTGAGGTACCATTCGATCCACGATCAAGTCCAAAATTCGATCACTCTTGGGCTGCAATTTCCGACCATTTCAATAGTTACACGTTTCGCTAGAGTCGGTTCGAATTGGGAACACCTAAGGGGATGGATCAAGGAAGTCGATACGATAACGATGGGATTCGTTTAGATTAAGATACATTTAAGAGTAGAGCAGCAGTACTGGAGATTCATGTATCCAAGTAGAAAGAAATGATTTCCGTTCGATGTGAGTAGTTTTAGAGAAAGCGATAGGCTCGAAACGCTCTTGTTGGAACACGAAATTCAACTTTCTTCAATTTCCCTCCTATGTTTCGTTCGGCTCCTTTCATTTCTTATCTCATCGTCAATATTATTTTCCTATTTTTCATCGATTAGCAGCAATTCTCTGAATCCTGCTGCTTGAGCCCTCTATGTGTTACGTTTAAGTGATTTAGTTTAAGCCATCCTTTTTAGACATAGACGAATTTATCATTTAGTCGTGTACCTTGTATCACGTAATCGTACCTTTACATATAAGCGAATTGACAGGCAACTTTGAAATACCTTTAACACTTTGACTGCCACGTGATTTTAATATTTTTAATTAGTCTTACTTTTAGCGATTCCATCGGATACAATTTGGAAAATAATAATTTTACAAAGTTGACATTGAAACGTGCAGCCGTCAAAGGGTTAATCAAAGAATATTGCATATTCGGAACAACGAGAACACCAAAAACTATTTCTGAATAATGTGTTAGATGTAGAATCTAGATTTAGATTTTCCTTCTTCCCTAGTCCGTAAAATCTATCTATCCTTAAGAAGTTAACGAATCATACAGAATTGAAACGATGTTAGAATTTCAATAATAATGATAGTTTTAGCACTTTACAAAGTTGCCCGTCGCGTACACCGATAATATTGTTGTTAATGAAAAAAACAATAATTGTATTTTAGACTACAGAAATGACGTGAAACGTCCAATTGAGGTACGTGCATTTTTTTTAAGCACACGATCGACGATATGTTTAAACAAATTCGAATTTTGACATTGTATAACGAGGTTGACACTTTTTAGAAGTGTTTTACACCTCCGATGAATTTTTATGTGAGAAACAATCAACGAATAATGTAATTATGCGAATGTAGAGTTTCCAATGCGAGAGATGCGTGATTTCGTCGATGTGTACTAATCGCGTTTCGAGTAGATCAGCTATCTCGTAGACGATATAAACGTGCATAATATTTTTGTTAGGAATCGAGTGAAGAACCCTCGATGATTTATACCACGTATAATAACACGGGGGATTCACCAACGTAGAATGTACTGATCTGGAAAACGAGAAAGACAAAATGCGCCAATCGTACGAAGTCTATATGTTAGGAAGAAGACAGCGATTTATTTTTGATAGAAGTTAAACGCGTCTGCGTCCCGGAATTTCGACAGAAATTATCTAGTCGGGCGTCAACCCATTGGCGAATATTTTGACATTCTTTTCTTTTTTTTATCATCTATGGGACGAAATGAAAGTTTGCGGAGCGTTTAGAAGTTTAAGCCGTATCGTAGATACCTTTTGTTCTTTTTTCTCTTTTTTTTTTTTTAATTGTACATTAAGAATAAACGTTTTTCTTTTTTTACAAAAGATCGCAGCCTTCTCTATTTATACCTTTCCTGAATAAATATAAATCGTCATTCGCGCAATATATTTCATTTGGTACAAAGTTCCTAAGTAGCACACGACACTCTTGGGCGCACCTGTATTTGTAGAAAAATAATTTGCAGCTAGATATTCTTGTTATTAATACTTAATGACTCATGTGTATGACTAGAGCGATTCTTAAGAGAGGTACGACTGTTGACAAGTCTGACTAGAATTAATTGAAAAGAGCATCCCAACGTTGCGGTTAATTATAAACGCTGCAATTATGATTAATTGATTTACGAAAACTATATAGGGGATCTCATCAATTGCGCGGTGTAATCCCTCTGTTTGTTAGCCAAATGGAGATCCAAGCTTTTCAACATCCTGTCACGGATTTCCTGATCGTAAGATGAGCCAATTTCCTTCTTGTGAGAACTTTTCAGCAAACCAGTTCGCCGATGAGCGATTCTCGGCTCGTTTCTGGAATAAGTACCCAAACGAAATCCAGGATAATTCGAGGGGAATGTTTTCGACGAGGGATCCTTCCTCGTTTCCCGTACTGCATTTTTCATGAAGTCTACAGCTGCTCGACGGCACGTGTCGTAACCCAAAAGTTGAATCCTTTTACCATAGATCGCGTCGAGCTGGGAATCCTTCGGCTTTGACACTTTGTCGATGATGGTTCGAACCGAGTCGGGTGTTCCAGGCAGATTCTCGAAAACTTTCCTCAGAACTTCCTTCGTTAAATCCTCCTCGCTGCCCGATTCACCTGAGAAGAATTTTTTCGCTGATAAGGGTTCAAACTTCGTATTTAATTAGCAGGGAGAAAAATTGCAATTGATATTTTCAAAGTTTTGCATAAACGTTCGATCATATTAAAAGCTTTGCTCGAAACTTGAAGATTTTTTGAAATATTATATTCCGAATTATATTTAAGTGGTTAATTTTAGGTCTAGGTCGTTTAAGGCGATTCAGTGATTCTCCGAAAGATTTCGAAACGCGTGGAGAAAACCAGATGGAAAATAGATGGAATAAATTATTATTACCGAGGTCGTTGGTGTGGTCCGTTGTGTATGTTCCTTCTTTGATCTCTCGTTGCAGCTCCAGCACTCTGGCCAACGCCAATTGCAGATACTCTCTCGCGTTTGGCTCCTGTAAAAACATCGTATGCAAATGCATGTTATAATCATTCTATCAGACCGCAATGCAGATAACCACACGGGAATAATACTTGCATAGAGATAGGCTATGAATAAATTCAAAATCTCCATGATAGAAATTAAATTTACCTCGTTTGTTTTCACTTTCTTATTGTCGCCGGTGTCATCCGCCAAACAGGGTGCCTGTGCGAATGAAAGAAGCATTTTAAACATGCGCCACGAAGGGTTTCAGACGTCGAACCTACCGAGGAGTATCTCTTCATCTTCGTTATGAAATCCTAGAAAATCTTCGATGAAACACGATCGCACGACATCGATTCACCGACGAAACTATCACTGATTATTTCACGGTAAGAAATTCTTCGTGTCAGAGGACCAGGTAAAAATAATTCAGCACCCTCTTCGAGTCTTCTTCGCTCATTCAAACATTTTCTTTTTCGTCTTCCCGGATCAGAATCACTCACCGCCCACGCTAATGGCTCTTTTATCCTGATATTCTGTTCTAAGATGCAATTTCTTTTATCTTTCCGGGAACGCTGTTAGGAAACGACCGTTGAATGGCGTCGATCGGCATCGACTAGCCGAATCGTGAGGGCCCTTGCCACAGGAGACTGGTGCGAGGGTGACGGTTTACCATGGCTTCACCCTCCCCTCTATCCTCCTTTGTGACCGATGGAAATGTGCCCCTTGCACACTGGTCTCCCCTGCAGATGCGGACCGGCATTATGCTGGCCACCCCTGTTTGCTCGACGCGTGCCCCGTGGCCGATAAAAGCGGCTGCCACGCGCCCCTTCTTCCAAAACTACGCTGGAATACGTTACAAGCCGCTCGAACGGTGGCTATAGAACACCGTTTATTATCATTTCCACGAGAGATCGGTGGGAAAAGATTGATAAACCCTTGCCAACGGGGGTTGCGATTGATTCTCGCACGATAAAAATCTTTACAATTCTCTCAATGATAAGGTATATCGCGATCAGGTGTGGTATAAATAAACTTTCCCCATAAAAAGAGTGCTATAAGTGGACAAAGTTCTTCTTTCGGCAATAAAAATCTTGGGTAGGTTTCTGTAGGGGTGGAAGAGGAAGCCGTTAAACGATAGACGACTCTTATCGAAAGATCAGAGGAAGAAAGATTCCAATATTATTTGCCACCAAATGATCCTCGTTTATTTACCAATGCTTCCGAACAGAAATAACAAACCCTTCGTTCGGGTGAAACGAATTTTATTCGAGTCACAAGTCACCCCTGCGTTTAACACATAGGTATCGATTCCCGGTACCGTCGCTGCGTGGCCTAATTACAGGAACAATAGGGGCTGCTAGAAGACGTCCAGGCGTTATCTGAACGTCTATAACGCGCGGAAACGCGACGCTACATCCTGTTACCGAGGTGCACGTCAAACAGGAATTTCCGATTACCATCGAAGGGGGCAAGGTCTTCGTACAGAGCGCAATTAATACGGTTCCTTCTCTTCGTCGCGCTAATTAAATCTCGCTGAGCGATTCAATAACGCCCGTGATCGTCTTCTCGTTTCCAGCCTCATCCGGAGCGGAACGCTTTCATTCAAGATCGACACGACGATTAACGGAGACGAACGGGTTAGAAAAGGCGGAGGAAAAAAGGGTTGCAATGATATCGACAACTTGCGGTGGATTAATTCGCACCTCGACTGACGGATAATTGGTAAGGGTAAAGGGCTCTTTGTGAACGTCTGCGAATATCTTGCGACCGATAAGCATACATGCGTTAGAATCGACTTCGATCCGACGATTAATGCTCGGTGATTCATTGAAATCGATTGAAACGATGGACAGCTGGCGTGAGCAAATATGAACGAGGCCAGACTGATGAATAACTTGTATAGTAAATACAGTTTACTGAAGAAAGTAAATATTTTATAGGTGTTTGAATAAGTTACTCGATTTTTAAAATAAAGCTGAGGGGGATACCGAGTGACGAAGCCGAGCAAAAGTAATTTTGTTTGATAGGGGAATCATCGAGGTAAGTAACGAGCTTCTGTTGCTGTGAGAACTCATCGTCCTTTTATGGTGTACAGTCGAGTTATTCAGTAGCCAGACCTCGTATCTACAGAAGATTGTTCCATTTTTCGCGTTTCTTATTTCCAAGCTAAACAGCTGTTTTACTTTAAGGACGGTCTTTCTCTTATAATGAAATCGATAAATTCTTGAAGATTCTTCCTTAAAATGGCATATATCTTTCTTTATCGATTAAGAATTATAAAATCGCGCGATTTCTGCACGCGAATACGACAACACGTGTATTGAATAATTTGAACATTTAGCATGAAACTATTTTACAATGTTAGCGGTGGTCCTCGATTTGCATCAGCATCTGCGACGATCGCGCTCGATGTCTTCGTTCTTCTACGTCCTTAGGATAACTTCCGAACGTTACTTACAGTCTAAGTCTCAGGTGGGTCCTGTGGACTCTTCGTTTCCGAGCTCGTAAACTGCTGTTGAATTCAGTTCCTGCGTGTGCCTTCGGATCGTGGAACCGAAGCTGGTCTCGTAAAGAGTGCCCTCGCCACGCGTTCGTCTTCTTTGAGAATAATTCGCGCCTCGATTTCCATACTTCTCCCAACTATCCGTTTCCGTTCGGCAGACACTCAGGGTTCTCCTCGACAGACGACAGCAAAGATATTCGTTGAACCTGGAAAGGAAAGAATAAAATTAGTAAAGTCCTGAATTCAATATTTCACTTTTCTCATTTTGTTACTTTCCTCTTTCGAAATGTCCCACTGACAAAGTACAGAGCTATCGGATTCACGCAACTGTTGACGAAGCTCAGACAGAATCCGAGGATCCTGAACGCGTGCCAAAAGTCGTCGTAGTCGTCTTCGGACGACGGGTAAAAGTGGAACCACAGCATGAACGTGTGATAGGGTAGAAAGCAAATGACGAAGATAATTACGAAGGCTATCACCATCTTTCCCACCTGTCGATCATAGCAAACGAGCCTGGCGTTAAACTGGCACAATCGATTGATGGATTAATTGACGTGCCGTTTGCACCGTTTCATCAGACTGATCTCTCCACGTCGTACAAGTGAATAATACGTTTTCACTTCGCGTTTTCAGAATACGTACTTTCTTATACAGAATGTCTAAAAGAATCGATCTACGTAAAGAAAAGTGCAAAAATCGATTTATAAGAAAAGTGCATGTGCATCGGGTAAGTGCATCGCTGCACTTCATTTGAGATATCTCTTAAACTATTCTGCTTTCAACATTTTACCCTAATACTTTCTTATAGAGAATGTCTAAAAGAATAGATCTACGTAAAGAAAAGTGCAAAAATCGATTTATAAGAAAAGTGCATGTGCATCGGGTAAGTGCATCGCTGCACTTCATTTGAGATATCTCTTAAACTATTCTGCTTTCAACATTTTACCCTAATACTTTCTTATAGAGAATGTCTAAAAGAATAGATCTACGTAAAGAAAAGTGCAAAAATCGATTTATAAGAAAAGTGCATGTGCATCGGGTAAGTGCATCGCTGCACTTCATTTAAGATATCTCATAAACTATTCTGCTTTCAACATTTTACCCTAACACTTTCTTATAGAGAATGTCTAAAAGAATCGATCTACATAAAAAGAAGTGCAAAAATTCGTTCTTAGAAAAAGTGCATGTGCATCGAGTAAGTGCATCGCTGCACTTCAATTGAGATATTTCTTAAACTATTCTGTTTTCAATCTTCTTACCCAATATGTATCTACAGAAAGAATCGTGACGTGCATACTTAGCACAAATAAATAAATAAAACAAACCTCGATAAGGTATGATTTCTTAGAAGGGTGAAAAGATCAGAAGAGAAATGATGAGAGAATGGGATCGTGTCATTTATCTCTGACAGAATTACTCGTTGATTAAATTGTACCGTAATTTCAGCCGTTATCTGGAAACGATTTATCATCGCCATATTTACAAACTAATCGATTACACGGTTGGTCTTAACGATGGCCATCAAATTACAGGGAAAACGGTGGAACGGTATTTCATGAAAATGCCGCATAACTGAATTGAGCTTGACTTGAGTTATCCAGACGGATTTGATAACAGCTGAACGACAGTGACGAGTGAACGTGGAAGAAGTTCACGTAAGAACAGAGTCGTGGAAAGTTTCGTGGTATCTCCCTTCTCACGCTTCGATGCCACCCTCTATCAAATAATTCGAAGCAGGCATAGAGCATCGAGTTGATAGAGGAGTTATTTTTAAAGCATACAATAACGCTACATCAAGGCTGATATTGTTACCACGAGAATGATTTCGTTTGTGCCATGGCCTGTGGAGTGGTTTCTTTGGCACTGAAATAAAACTACTTCAAACTATATGGAATTTTCCCTGCAGTACCAGAAAACTGCATGTAGCGTCAAAGAACAAAGTATAGTTCATAAGTTTGAAACACACTTAGCTTTTCCGACAGAACAAACTTTTGGTGCATTATATTTTAAGTAGTTTTAGCTGTAACGTTCTATGATTGAAGAGTACAACTGAAATGTAATTTTCAGAAACAAAAGATTCGTGGGTCATTTTAATTTTTCTATCCTGTAAAATAAAATTCAAGGGTGTGTTCGATATTGGAAGACATAATTCACAGCGATTGATTGTCAGTTATAACGTGAAAAGTGATAGATTGTGCGAAGGTTGCGTGGTTTTACCAAGCAATCCATAGTGATTTATAATTAGTGCTGTTGCGGAAATTGTACCGCGCTATAACCGAGTATCGGCTTAACGTTGTTGCTCAACCTTATTACGGATCGTGTGCTGATTACGCAAGCAATGGGTAATTTACATACTGCAATCTCATCGACGACTTAACTATCACGCTGCACTAAGCTTTATTATCTTTTGAAAGCATTATTTCAAATATCCAGAATTGTTCTCTATTTTTTCCAAAATGAAATATCAAAAATTTCACTGGGTTGCTTACCTTTTTGCGCGCTTTAATTTGCTCCATACGATGACTATCACAGGACAATTCTCCAGGCATGTTCCTGGTGGATAGCTCGAGGTGTCGTGCCATTCCCAGATAAAATCCCGCTATCACGCACAGCGGTATCGCATAATATACCAGGAACTTGAACATCACCATTCCTCTTTGATAGCTTTTCCCTGTGATCCGTAACGAGAAACAACAGATTCGAACGACAGATCATGTTCGTACATATGAAAACTTGACAAAGGCTAACGATAAAGAACACCTATATGTAAGTAAACATAATTTTCAATTCTCCAGTCGGAATCGAAAGTAAATCAAGCGAAATTTATAAAAAAACTGTAACGAGATAATGGAGGGATGAAAGTATCGGTACTCACCGAATTCTTCGGGAAATGGACTGCAAATCAGGATACTGTGGTTACCCTGTAAAGGTACGGTCGGCACGTGAGAGAAAAGAGCAGCTGGCATCGCTAGAATAATTGCCAGCACCCAAATAAGGGAGGCTGTTAGTATCGTTAATGGTTTCGCGCTCAGCCCTGCTACGTGTCGTCGTATTGGATTCACAATCGCGCAATACCTGTAATATAAAAGGAAAAAGAAATTTTATTATGGGATTGGAACATTCAGACCCAGTGGACTGAAGATTGTGAATCCGTGCGTCGCCGACCTTCCGGACGGATTCTTGATATCTGAGTACCTTTAACGATAAAGGTGTTAATCAACAGTGATACGAAGATTTCGTACTTCGTTTGGATAACTGATTACATAGCTGAACAAGCAGCTGATTGGTCCATTAACAAGGAACAACTTCGTGGAAGTTATGTCTACTAACCTACCCCTGAAACAACAATTTCCTCGGTCATAACTGGGTTTGACAACTAACCTCTCGGCTGATAACGCGGTCAGAGTGAAAACTGAGACACCGATCGAAATATCCTTGGCGCACTCCGATAATTTGCAAACTGCCAGACCCCACGGCCATGACTCGATCGTGTAGAGGATCGAGGTAAACGGTACACACGTCACGATCACCTGAAATAAGCGAAAGATTAATCAAATGATTCTTCCAAGGAATCACAGAAGCAGCAGATTTTATTGGCTCGATTGTGTGTCGAATAAAGGCGAGCAATAAACGAATGGTATTCGACGTTTCAATTGGGCGAGAGTGAATGATGAAATTGGTAATAGAACGTTCAACGATATTGGTGTTCCATTGTTTGCCTGCTCAATGGAAACCGAAAGGTACATAACCGATAATAGAGCATATTCACGTGTACATATTCGCAATAAATTATGAACCTTATTGCATCCCTCAGATGCAGAGCAATGCATTATTTTGAGGGTGAAATACTTGAATGTCACGAAATATCACACTTAATGTACGTTTGTTTCTTACCAGAAGATCTCCTAGGGCCAAGGAGAGCATATAAGTGTTCGGGACGTTTCTCATGTTGGCATGGCGTAAAAGGGTGAGCACCAGAATCCCGTTTCCCGTTACACCCACCACGAGGATTAATAAGAATACCACAGGTACGATGTATGTTTCCGGTCGTTGATCGTAAGGAACGTATCTGTCGTTCTCGTCGTCCTCGTTTCCTCCCACATCGACAAACGACGTGTTTAGAATAATCGCCATCTGCAGAAGATAAAGAAAAACGTTCCTACCTCTGCGAATATTTCGTCGAAATTTACTTTGTTTTACGGAGTATTAATCCATGGAGGAGAATTTCGTCCAGTGGAAACGTTGCCAACAAATTTATGTGTCTTTTTCGTTAGAAGCTTGCGATGGGGAAGTTGGAATAAAACAATGAAACGGTTGGCAAATAAATCTCTTTGAAAGTGTACAGGTGAATGAATATAGCTTGGAAGTTTAGTCAAATGAGAGACATTGTTCGTACTATTTAATTAGGAAAAGTATACAAAAGCTTTTCATTTAAAAAATTATATTTTTCTTTTTTGAGTTGGAAATTGCTGAAGTCTTCGTATCTATTGTCACGTTTCTCTTTTCAGTCCGCTAATTAATACCTTGATGGTTCGTGTTACGTACTCCTCATATTGATAATTATCTGTGTATTTCATTAGGAGGATATAGTGAACAATAATAATTATCTCTGAAAATCTCTATTCTACTAGAAAGGGTTTTGAAAGTAATATTGTTGCAAATAAAATATTTGAAAAATAAACTTTGTTAATTTATTTTATCGATTTTTATTATTCTCCGCTTCGTTTTTTTATCGATCACGTAAAATCAACAAAAATTGTTCATTAGTAATAGTTTATTTAGATAGCATTTTATGTCTGACATCAAACATCACGTTCCGGAAATGTTTGGCTACATATCCGATTGCATTGTTCAAAGCCGAAGTGTTTCGTTATTGATGGAAAGAGTGTTCGCTTGTATCCAAATTCGTGAAAATAAAATAAAACGTGGACCAAATAAATCAGCTTTTTTGTGTATAAATTTATAGAACGGATAGAACGCAGAAGTTGACTTTTAAATTCTTCTCTTCATGGAAGTGCAAGCTCACTGTTGCGGAAACGATTTCCCTAGTCATTGACGCTGCTCTGGAAATTGCATTTTACAAATGCTGTCTCAACGCTTTAACATCAACCTCAGCAGTGGCGAATAAATTCAATAAATATTCTTGAAAAAATAGAAAGGCAAAAGGGACGAGAAAAATAAAGTAGATATAAATTATTTTATTAGAACTTAGAAGTTCATCCAGAATTGTACTTTATTCCATCTCATCCACTTTTACGTGGGATCACAGTGTGTTCATGATGTTTTTCGGCAAACTTCAGCTCGTGCCATAAAATTCAGACAGTATTTTTTCTCGCGATTCACGTTTCACTGATTTTGCAAAATATTTTTCTAGGTAAAAGTTGTCCTCGATTTTACGTACTGTAATTCACGGTACGTTTACGCAGCTTCATTCTTTTTTCTTTTATTGCAACCTGAAAAAATATCGCAGTCCTGCACTAATTTTCTTTAGAATTTCCCACCATTCGTTATTTACTTCTTTACGATACGAATAAATTCATTCGTGTCTGAGAAGTCCTCCAGACTTGCACCCCTTTAATTCACCTGACATTCAAATCCGCGCCTATACGATCTCTTTTAAAAGAGAGAACACCGTTTTATATGCATTTTTGTGAGTTTGAAAGAAATATGTTTTTAACCATTGAAGTAATAGTAGCTTAGCTAGGTGACATTTGAATTCGAACGACACTGCTGAAAAATGTATAAAGTTCTTCCAAAGTCTACGTGACTCTACTAAATCAAATATGAAGAAGGAATAAAGTATAAATTCCCTTCAAGTATCAGCAGAACGGGGTACAGATGGCGAAATCGGCATGTGCACGGTTTTAAAGATAAGGTCTGAAGATTGCACTTTGCATTGCAAATGATGCAGTGCAACCTGCATTCCAGGATGACCGAAAAGTGCACGAAAAGAAAAGTATGTTCCACTAATGGAGCGATTAAAATTCGTTTCACTCTAAAATTCATCCTATTCGCATCCTTACTTTTTCACGTTCGTTTATTTAAAAAAAAAAGGAGCAAACTTTCAATGGTATAGTTCAGTTTTTCATCGACGACTTCTTTTGTCCGGTGAAATCGGCGCATCAATATCTGCCCGATAGCGGATCGAAGCACAATGAAAATTAATCAGATTGATCGCGATATGCAATATGACCTTTTTTTGCTTCCGCCAGTTGGATCGAGCGTCCATCAGCGACAGCTTGAAACGTTGTCGAGAATTATTTGCCTCTGGAATATTCATCGGTTCGGTCCAGATACTCTGCTGCGTTCCATTGTCTACGCAATCTTCGTCTTTCATTAGCAGTAAATAAATTTGAACGTCGCAAAAAATTAGCAGAGGGAAATTTCCCTTTTAAAGCGAACCATACTTTCTGCTCCAAATAAGTTCTATTGATTTCTGATGTGGTTGACGTGTGCTTTGTATATCATAAATGCATAGATATTCGCGTTTTCCCTTGAGAAATTATTCATCGATAAAAGCGTTTTTCTTCGAAGTAACATCGCAAGTTCTCATCCTTGTCATACTTTTGTGTTACAAGGCAGTTTCTTGGTTTTAATATATTTTTCTCAAAAGATAATAATATCGACGTAAATCAAGATGATAATACCAGGTGACACATCGTTTGAAAAATATCCCAATAAAAATGGTTGTTCTGCGATGCTCGATGTTCCAAGGAAATTTCCTCTCGCCGCAGATAAATGTGCGTGCAATTTTCACGACCGTCTTTAATCCCTGTTTCTGAGCTTTGAAACTTTACGGCTTTCCATAACGATCCTTTCGAGCGTGAAGTTATTGTCCCACTTTGCCGGAACAAAAGTCGAACACGTGAGTTTTGGTCGTAAAACATTCTGTGGTTCTAAAATTGAAAAAACAAAATCATTTCCCTTCCTTTATCGAGCTTCGTTCTTTCAATTTCTGTTTTAGCACACTTGTTGCGACTCTATTACGACCCCGAACGTATCGAACGTATTCGATGTATTTCATCTCCGTCTTTCGCAACCCCCATTTCCTTTCTTGAGCTGCTTTATGGGAAGTTAATCCGGCATACTCTGTCCCATGAATCATCTTCGATTTTTACTTGAGCTTCATGAATGATTTCGGAGCGTACGCTCCGTGAATGGGATAATATGCGATACAAAGCATTACTGTTCCATGGATAATGTACGCGACGATAATACGATCGTTATGGAATTACGGAAGATTGTAAATTATGAAATTTTGAAGCTTTGATTCTGGCGATACGACGTTAATTAATGTTATTAATATTAAGTGAGTGTCGATATACTGGCATTATTAATATTGATATTAGTGATATTTAATATTATTATTAATTAAGGATGAGTATTAATAATATCGTTATTACTAATTACTTTTAAATTTAATGAGGACCAACTAATCAACAACATGAATTCTGATATAATTAACAAAAACTGTTGATATTTCCAACCCGCGTTAATGATTTTTCATCTAAAAGCAACGAAATTGAAAGATCGTCGTATAATTTTCTGATCAAAATAGAAAAACAGAGGGATGATTGAAGCGGAGAAATCGAGGTAAATTGATCGGTTAAAAAAAAGTGCTTCTGGAAGCTGATAATTCACATTTCCTCGTTCAGCTCGTGCAAATATTTTACGAAATGATTGTCTGAAATTGCTTCGACGGAAAGAGGAAAATGTTGACTGTAGAGGATTCGAACAGGTGTCACGCTGGCAGTGCGATACAACCAGCCCGTAATTAAACGTAATTTTTGACGATGATACTGTGGACAAGGGAATCATGGTTGCGAATTGCTGGATAGATGTAAAAATACGTCTGTCATTTACATTTCACGAGAAACCACCAACTGACTGGGATTCGAACGAAACACTGTCGAAAAATGAAACATCCTGAATTGAACGGCGCGGCGTTTGGACAATTTTATGTGACACGCATATTCATGCGAATATTGATTCAGACATCTGTTTTCTTGATGAAAAATTCTCACAGACTTTGAGGTATAAATTATTTCTGTTAATCTAAGGTGCAAGTACGCCCTTCATGAATTTTTGATAAGAATTTTAATATTGATAAATACGATTCACGTACTACTGAAAGAGGCAACTCACGTATTGGCAATATAATAGCTGCCCTTATTAGATATCTAACGATGAATTGATGCGAACCTTCGGTATGAAAGCGCCCTCAGAAACTTTCTAAACATCAGAAAAAGGAGAGGATCTAAAAGACGTTAAAATATATTTTCTGAGCCATCGTAATTGATTTCCAAAAGTATAGAAAAAATCATCAAACAGCAAAGGAAATAAAAAGTAAAAGAGGCAAAGGTTTGTTCAAGAGGATCCAAGTTTCCGGTAATTTCGTTTCACCATTAATTAGTAGATAAATGAAGTTTTTTACGAGCAACTTTAAATCATGATTGGCAAGGAAAAGATCGCTTGAGATGCGTGCACAAAAGCGATGAAACGTCAAAGGAAATTAATGAGTGGTAAAAGTCAACCGTGACAGGAAAATTTTAATCATTCAACGACTCGAGTTCTTTGAGCATACCTTTACGGATTATGTTTCCGTCGCTGATCCTTTACGATCGCTAAGATCCTTTCATTTCCTCGTAAATGTCTCCTTAACTGTGCGAAAAATTGCGATAGAATGTGTCTTTGGCGCAACGCATAAACCGTAGAAGCTTTGATACATTTGTAGTTCGTAATTTAATACAAAGTCTTGTGATTCTTGTGAATCGAATTGGATGCAGGTATTTGGAAAGCATGTCCAATAAATAGGAAATTTTGAGAAAATGTAAAAATTGCCAAATTCAAAATTTTGTACCGTATTTTACAACACATTGGGTTTAATTCGTGATTTTTCGTATCGAATTTTCCTTTCAATGAAGCTGAAAAGTTCAACTCCACAGTTCGAACGATGTGATATCTGGGTTCGAAGTTAATAAGAAACTTTATTGAATCTTTGACAGCGAAAGGGCAACTTTTCCAATTTGCCACTGCTTCGAAGTTCAAAATCGAAGAGTATGCTTACGGAGTAAATGACGAGTACAGAAGGAAAATAAGAAACTTATAGTCGATAAATATTTTCTTACAACATCTAATTAGAAACTGTTAGTTGAATGAAGCTTGTTAAGCTGAATTTTTGCAAAAAGCAGTACTTCAACTTAGGAAAAATGTTAAACTGTGATGATAATTTTGAACATATTTCGGTCTCACTAAACAGGAAAATTACAAGATCAACAGAAATCGAAACTGAATCGTATCTTGGATGAATATTATAAAATTCCTCGATGGAGATATCGAAGAATTTGTCAGTCAACCAAGAAACGTTTCAAGCTAAGAAGCTTCAGAACGACGCCTGGGTGCATCGATTCGCATCCAAGCGCAATTTCCATTTCCCTATCAATTTCAAATCTGAACATATTTATCTGTCACACTTGACACCATCCCTCGATTCTAGCAGACGATACAGATCCACCCTACACAATTTCATCAACTTGTATCTCAAACGTATGACGTTTCATTTTCAGACTATTTTTCAAACCATGAAATATACTAAAAGCAAATCTATTGACTAACTTCGAGA